GCGGCCGCCTGGCTCCTCAAAAGCACATCAGAGGGGGAGGCGGCGGTAGGAGGAACGCAGATCACAGCTGGGGTGGTCCGAGCGGAGGGAGAGGCACCGCCGCCGCTGCCATGGGCGGGGGCGCCAGCGGGAGCTTTGGCGGCTTCACTGCAGCTGCAGCGCTGGGCAGCAAATGTGATGGTGCTGTTGGAGGAGGAGGTGGTGGTGGCGGCGGCAGCAGCAGATATTATGGTGGCGGTGGGGGCTTTGGGGGTTCACTTTAGCCACAGAGCCGGGCGCAAGCGGCTAGAACTGGCCGCCCACAAAGGACCTCCCCACGCTTGCTTTGCTGCACACGGGGGCGACTAATGCTAGTTTGAGCGGCCGCAGCCGGCGCAAATTACCGTCAATCGCTCCATGCTCATCAAAACAAGTCTGGGGAGGTCCTTTGCGGGCAGCCAGTTCTAGCCGCCTGCAAAGGACTTCCCCGCGTTTGCTTTGCTGAACACGGGGGCGACTAATGCTAGTTTGAGCGGCCGCAGCCGGCGCAAATTACCGTCAATCGCTCCATGCTCATCAAAACAAGTCTGGGGAGGTCCTTTGCGGGCAGCCAGTTCTAGCCGCCTGCAAAGGACTTCCCCGCGTTTGCTTTGCTGAACACGGGGCGACTGACGATAATGAGTGGCGCAGCTGGCGCCTAGGAGGTCCTAGGAGACCGGTTGTGCCATATAAGCTCCTGCCGCCATCCCCGCGCCCATGCTGACCCTAGATTTTTTGAGGCCCCTCAGCTTCCGGAGCCTGTGACAGAAATCAATGCACGGCAGTTAGAAATGCAGTGTTTTCTTGCCACGTGCGTGGCCGCGTCGCCGCGCACCTTAGAGGGAACAGTGCAGCCCACCACTGGTTATCGGGGATCTGAAAAGTCTCTTCTAGAAACATATTTAACTTAACTCATCTTTGGATTCAAGCCTTTGGATTTGGGTGCACAATTTCTCTGAATTGGCTGCTAGGGCAATTGTAAATGCACACTCACATAGCGCCTGCCTAGCAGCTCTTTAAAGCAGTCGCATCTTCCCTCAGAACTCTGCAACTATCCTTGCAAAGGGATCCCATGAAAATAAATATTTGGTTTAAGGACTCTTATGTGATTTACAAACATGAGAAAAATCCCTCTTATGAGCCATAGTGGTGCAGTGGTTAGAATGCAGTACTGCAGGCTGCTTCTGCTGTCTGCCGGCTGCCCACAATTTGGCAGTTCAAATCTAACCAGGCTTAAGGTTGACTCAGCCTTCCATCCTTCTGAGGTGGGTCAAATGAGAACCCAGATTGTTGGGTAAGAGGCTGACTCTGTAAACTGCTTAGAGGGAGCTGTAAAAGCACTATGAAGCTGTATATAAGTCTAAGAAATGCTATTGCTATTATATTTTTTGAAACTTCACCTGTTTCTTGAGACAAAAAATATGACAATCTATTGGACTTTTTTTTTACACACACTTAGCTTAGATTTTTGAATTTGTTAAGCCACAGCCTACAAATTATATGTAAATCAGGAAACAGTGATTCTACAAACTAAGTTTGCAATCAGGATTACCCAAAACTATGGATCTCTATTAGATTTAACTTTATTTTTATGAACTTTAATATGAGCTATATCTGAATTTCATCCAATCCTTCAAGAAATGCAATCTCTCAGTGTAAGTGCCACCTTTAAGACATCTACTACAGGGCTTAAACATACTATCAATACACCCCCCCCCTTCCAAATGATGTCTTGCCCTCTTAACCATCCAAGTAGAACATTTTGGAATGTCTACAACATCAATTGCATTTGATTCTTCCATGACACGAATGTCTCCTTCTGGCAGAAAAACCCATGGTAACTTTACTAAGCTTTCAACCGTCCCAATGTGCCACAGGCAAGCAGTGTTTCTTTCATACCAAAATAAAATTTCTACAGGTAGTCCTCGACTTACAACAATTCAGTTAGTGAGGTTCAAGCCGTGGTGGCGCAGTGGTTAAAATGCGGTACTGCAGAATACTTCTGTTGATTGCCAGCGGCCAACAGTTCGGCGGTTCAATTCTTACCGGCTCAAGGTTGACTTAGCCTTCCATCATTTAGGTTGCTAAATGAGGACCCAGATTGTTGGGGGTAAGAGGCTGACTCTGTAAACTCCTTAAAAGGGGATGTAAAGCACTGTGAACTGGTATATAAGTCTAAGTGCTGTTACTATAACAGCACTGAAAAAACAACTTATGACTGTTTTCACACTTTAACAACCGTTGCAGCATCCCTGTGGTTGTGTGATGCGTCAAATTCAGATGCTTGGCAACTGAATCATATTTATGACTATTGTAGTATCCTGGGGTCATGTTGACAAACAAAGTCAACTGGAAGGCCAGTTTCACTTAAGAACCATCTTACTAACTTAAGAAGTGCAGTGATTCATTTAATGAATGTGGCAAGGAGAGGTCATAAAAACAGGGCAAAACTCACTTTACAAAGCTCTCTCTTAACCACAGAAATGTTGGCTCTGTTGCAACTGTAATTGAAGGATTACCTGGATTTGAGTGGCACGGCAAGCAATCCATCATGTTTGAACTCTCACAAGGTCAATTTTGTGAGGACGCTTAAGGCATCTGTGAATGCTCATTCTTTGGATGATTTCTTCGTGGGAAACAACTGTTAGCATTCACCTTTAACAGTTAACCGTAACAGAATTGGAAGGGACCTTGGAGGTCATCTAGTCCAATCCCCTGCTCACACAGGAGACCTATATTAGGGATTCGAACTGCCAAACTGCCAACCTTTCTGATTGACAAGCTCAGCGTCTTAGCCACTGAGCCACCTAGCAAGGCTTCTAATAGTAATCTAGTAAAATAGGTTCTGCTCCCTGTTTTTCTGAGATTATGATGGAGAGCAGAAAACCCCACAAAGTCTTTCATGTTGAAGCAGCAGTCTATTTTAGAGCTCTACCTGTGCCTGTGAAGGAGGAGAACCAGCAACCAGATGTAGCAGAGAATCACGCCACATACTTCGGTCATGGCAAAAGCCCACGGGATTCTAGGGACACTGTGAGAAAGGAAGAGAAAAAAACAGCATTATTGTTTGGCATGAGTCTAGGCTTCCTGAGGAATCCCTACCCCCACCCCAATGGGTGTAACACCCCAAGACTCCAAGGCAGGCAGTTCCTCAAAGCTCCATTTTATTAGAGACGTCATATTGGCACATCTGGGAAAACCCGAATCTGAGAGTTCCGGCTTTTCCCCACCCAAAAAAAAGTCAAATGTTAAAATATTCATGACTGGGAGAGACATGGGAACAAAGTCAGCCAATGAATAGGCATAGCAACTAAGTCAGCCAAGGGGAGCTTAAACAGATCTGAGCCTGTGCAAAGAATTGAAACAGAAACTTAAGTAAGCAGTCTGCTGCTCTGAGAAGTAAACTGTGTGGGCTTGTCTGCTGATATGAAACTAACTTTGATTTGATTTGATTTGAAGTTTATTTGTATGCCGCCCTTTTCCCTG